GCCTTGGCTAGAGGAAAATAAATCCCCTTTGCACCTTGCCAAACATGTCGGTTCATCATGACCTGCATCACAAGCCCTTGAGATCCTTGAAATGGGTTAGTCCTTATGCGGGATGCGTGCAATGGTATGATGTGATGCTATGCATGGGGTAATGTAGGTAAACCCTGTTATGAGTCCCAATTAAGGACTATAAACAAAACTTGCAAGAAACTCAAGTGTCAGATAACAAGCATGCAAATAGTCAAGTTGGAAGGCACACAAGTCACACAAAAGAAGCCCTTAGAGTTTAGGCCAGCATGGGGTCTAGGTATTACCCTCTTTCAGTTTGTTGGTTCAGACCTGTCCTATCAAAAGTAACCGGGTTCTAGAGGATCCCAATATCACTGACTACCCTCAATCGGTCATAACTCCAGCATCGCAATCTTTTCTTGCGGCCAGAACCATCATGAGAGTTTAGCCTCAATGGGCGTAGCATACTGCTACTGTTCTATTGGCCAAGTTGGGTCATTTAAGGTTCTAAGGTCGGTTGGTGCTTAATGACTCCTCAGAAGACCCATATTCTCCTCGTTGCGACACAAGGGATATCGGTACAGACCAAGGCGCCACACTAACGTAGCCACTGCTTCACCCATGTCGGTCTACGCCGGACAGGTCCCTCACAGCTTATGTTACCTAACAGGGTATCCCCAGATCCGGGTTAGGATCTATGTAACTCCGATGCAACCCACAATAATAAAGCAAACAAAGCACAACAATTGAAAACACAGTTATGAACTATCCTAAGGTACACCTCACTTTATACGAAGTCCCCAGCAGAGTCGCCAGTTCTGTGATCGGTGGATCTGGAACTGACTGTTTAACGCTGGTTCGCGAAATGTCGCGGAAGCAAGAGTCGCCACCGTCTTTTATTTTCTCCAACATGGAAAGGACAAAAGCACAGAAAAATTCCTTATTGAGATTAGCTCTCGGTTCGGGAGGTACATTTATAGAAAGGGAAGGTGTTAGCACCCTTTCTATCCATGGTTATCCATGGGCTCTTAGATACTTGCTCATTTGTGTTTTCAAAAGTGTTTGTTTGCTTTTCAAGGTGAGTGGGTTTGAAAAAGTTTCGTTTAAAATTTTAGATCGACTCTTGTATCAGTCCTCAAGAGTGTTTGAAAAGTTGTTTTTGAAAGCTTTTTGAAAAGTGTCGGTGTGAAAAGAATTTTTTTGATTTATTTTGAATTAGAGCAAGTATCTACGAGTCATCTACCTACCCTAAGGAATTAGGCTGTGTTAATGTCCTTAAGGTAGTGCCATCCCGCCATTGAGGGGTAGGTAGCACCACCGTTGGAGGTGTTCGGGTCAATTCGAGTTTAGGGACAGTGTGGTCACCAGAGCAATAGTAGGACACCTTAGAAGCTACCCCCATGCCATGTTCATGGACATGAGGACTTACTAAAACGTCCTCTACTCGACGACCACGTTTCAAGGGGCAAGGCAACAGTGAGGCGTACCCTAGGAGTGGTGTATGAATTGTGTGTCATTTTCAGTTATGTTTTGTCTTGTCATGCATTGGGTGTGCTACGCTTTGATTTTATTTGGGCATACATTCTTTCATATGATTAGCAGTTTAAAGGGTGCGGAAATTAAAATGCGGAAAAATAAAGGTCCTACGCTATTACAAGGCGCAGGTCTATACATCGCCAAATTAACAAAGACCCGATTTTGAATAAAAGTGCGGAAAGTAAATATCCTAATTATTACAAAGCTTTGGGGCAATTACATAATATTTAAAATGAAAAATGTAAATAAACGCGCGAAAAGAAATTACAATCGAAGGTGCGAGGGCATTGGACCCTTTAAAGAAATTAAATTGGAATTGAAATTGAATTAATTATTTAATTAGAAAAGAAGTTATTTTTTGATGTTTTTGTATTTAATGGAAATAAAGAAAATTAAAAGGAAAAGAAACCCTAATTCTACATGTTTTTAATCATTTAAGGAAAAGAATTAAAGTTTAAACCTAATTTACTCAAATTATTTAATTACAAGTTTATTTACAAAGATAATTAATAATTAACAATGATAAGAAATAAAAAAAAAGGTTATTTATTAAGAAAAAGAATAAGAAATGCTAAAAACCTATTTTTTTATTTTTTTATTTGTTATTAAGAAAACATTAAAATTTAAAACCCTAAATTAAACTAAATTGATTAATAAGATTTATTTACAAAAATATTAATGAATTAAAAATTAAATAAACATATTTAATTTTGCCTTTTCTGATTTTTTTTGTGTTATAAAATTATTTTGTGGAATTAATTAAAACAAAAAAAAACAATTAAAATAAATAATAGAGAAAAAAATGAGAGAAAGAAAATACAAACAAGGGGGGGGGGGGGGGTTCTGCCCAATTTGGAGGTGTTAAGAAAGCAGTTTGGCCCACTGATCCCAAGCCCATATTGACTTTCAGCGTTTGCGTATGGCATGGTTGACTAGTGTGCATGATGGAACTCACATCCTGACCCTTAGATTGATCTCATGGGACATTTGGCAAGCACAAGCGTTGGGTGTACGATGGATCACTGAAGGGCACGCTGCATAGGAACAGGTTAGAGAAAAAATTATGAAATATGCAAGGGGACTTGGGAATCGAACCCAGGTCCCATTACCTGCCTGCCAACACATCCACCAATTGAACTGGCGCGTTACGTTGTACATCTAAGGGACAATGATCCTTATGAGAGAGAAAACAAGCATTAGTGGAATTTTAACAAAATGCGCCCCAGGATTTGAACTACCCATTAACGTTATGACACATATGCATCGTCTTCGTCTCTTTGCCTGTAAACAAAATCAAATAGCGGGGGGTTTAAACCCCCACTAACAGTAATATTCAAAAATAGCGATTAGCACATGAGGGAATATAAAAAGGGCGCGATGGGTGATTTCAATTTGTTTGGATGTCACGATTCCAATGGTGCTGGTCTTATGGTTCAATTTTTCCACATGAAAGAAACCCTAAATCAAGGTCTCTGAAACCCTAAGAAATGTCCATGGTGGATTCTCCTACATGCAGCCATTCTTCAATTGAACGATGCCATTAGCTTTAGAATGATCATGTTAGTGTAAATCAAACATTCAAATGTATGGAAAATGCGTGTAAATCAAAATACGAATGTGAAAAATATCATGAACAGGGCAAAGTCATTCTACCACTTCTGGATGTATGGAGACTGGAAAAGTATTGAGTCACGTTCAGGAAAGTCCCAGCAAGCCTTTGGAATGGATTGTAGGCTTTGAATCACACTGGAACTATGTTTTCAGTTTCAACTTTTTTTGTGAAAAATGCAAGTTTTGTTCTTGATCTTGGGCGCAGCTTTTTTCCTCTTGTGCATTAGGTTTTGTTTGTATATGTATGTAGCATGATTAGGTCAATAAAAATCAAGCCCAAAGCCTTGTATTCAATGATTTTCAATATTTGATTTTCATGATCTTTTTCAATCTTTTCTTGCCATGGAACTTGCCTATTTTGGAAGATTTGGTCTCTTGAGCATGTGCACGAAATATTTAGGTCATAAAGAGTGAATATGCTGCATAAAAAGATTTGGAAAACATGTTTTAGTATTTTTCTTATATTTAATTTTAATTAAATGAATTAATATGATTAAAAACTCAATTAATCAATTAAAAATAAGAAAATAACTCCCCTTTGGGTCAATGGGTCGTGCATAGCCTTTGGGTGATGATTCTTGGAAGAAATTGAGGCCCATTAGCAATTTTAAGGCATTTGAAGTAAAGTTGACTTTTCAAAATTCCCAAAAATTTCCCAACTTCCACAAGGCATATATTGCTCAATGTTTAAGATTTGATCATGTTCTTGGACATTTTGGAAAGGTCTTGAAGTCCTCTAACCAATGCCTTTGGTCCCATATCATTTTGATTTACCAATCTCAAGTTATGGTCTTTGACTTAAAGTCCCTTTTTGTTGACTTTTGAAAATGACCTATAATATTGAGATTAATAACTTTTTGTGAGAGCATTTCTTGGATTTGAAGTGTGAAGATGAGTTGTAGGAAATGTCATTCTCTTCAAAATGAGCTTTGGATATAATTTTTCTGATAAACCATGTGGAAGTTATGCCTTGGTCAATTTGCAGTTGACTTTTCCAACTGTCCAAAAATAGAAACTTTTGCATCTTGAGATTTTTTGAGCCATGCCTTGAGAGTCATGATCAAGAATTGATCAAATGATGTTTGTGGCTTCAAAATAAGATGTTGACCAAAATTTTTGACTTTTGACTGTCAAATGACCATTTTGCCCCTGCAGTTGACTGTTGAGCAATTAGGGTTTTTGACTGTGCAATTTTGTGTTGTGAGTCTTGAAACTTAGCATATGGATGCTTGACCATGTTTGTAGGCATGTGGGACTTGTTTGGACCCTTGGAAACTTCAATTTCTTTGACAAAACCAAAACCCTAATTTTTGACTGTTAGGAGGCAATTGGACTGTGCAACCTTTGAGAGATTTTGAACCTTGACCTTGGCAAATCTTGAGGAATATGGGAGGGCAAATTTTGAGGTACAACAGATACCAATTGAGTTAGCAACACTAGGTGCAGGCGCCAATCCAATTGACACCTCCTCTTATATTTTAAATGCATATGTCACACCTGACACAAATGTTGCGCCTATTGTTTTTGAAAGTGAGGTAAATTAAAAAAAAATTAAAATATGAATTATTTTGAGAATTTAAAAAAAAGTGAATTATTTTAGTAAAAATTCACATCCATCATCAAAGAAATTTGCAAACAAGACAATAAAAATAAATAAATAGTAACTTTATTCCACACTTAAAAGTAATCACAAAGTTCCATATTATATATAATTATAGGTGTAATTACACATTACACACAACATAAATTAAAACAAAACAAAACAAAAAAGGAACCAACCACATTTAAGGGATTCTCAACAACCTCAAAAGCAAAAACTTTGATTCCTTGTGTTTAACTTCTGCCTAGTGATTAGCAGCATATTGATTAATGAGTGAAAGAGCATTACTAGTAACTTGAGCAACATTAACTATTCTAGATCTAATAGAGGCTTTGATTTTTCCATCAAGTGTTTTTCCAGCAAATCCATCACCACAAGTGGTTTCATCAGTCAAAGCTGAGCTAACCCATGTCTCAACATTACTTATATGCCAATTGAAATCTTGACCATTGATCTTGGAAAGTTTAAGCTCTTTCAATGAACGGGTAAGCCTATCAACACTATCACTAATCTCCTCAGCACAATCATGAAGAGCAGCATATTCTCTTGGTTTAAGATTTTTGAAGCTTTTGCACATTGTAACAAAGCCTTTTGTGGATTGAGTGTTGTTGAGGCTAAGTGATAAAGCTGTTTGGACTAATTGGTGAGTGTCTTGTTGGATTGTGGATGCATAGACAGAGAGAGATTCAACACAAAGTGTTGGGTATGTGTGGTGCTGCATGAGGATTTGATGAAACTTGTTGGTGTTGACGTTGCAATAGAGAAGAGAGTAAGGAGAAGAAAAATAAGGGTAAACTTTGTTGCCATGTTTGAGATTTGGTAGTATGAAAAATACAAGATTTTGTTTTGTGGTAGGTTTGTGAAGTGTGAGAATGATATTATATAGAGATGTAGATATGGGGCTTTGGCTTGTGACTGAAGAGTCAAGAGTTCACAACTATTTGAAGTATTGTTTGAAGTTAAAATGTGAACACTTTTTCGAATCATCGTCTCTCACAAATCATGCCGTGTTCTTCTTTTTTTTTCTTGTCTAGTCGGCACATGTGCAACTTCTAGCTTTATCTTACTTTGTTATTCTTAAATTAGTAAGTGATTTTCAGTGGTAATTACTAATTTGTAGATAATCTTTTTTGAAAATAAGATATTATATGTATCCAAAAAAACAACCAAAACACAAAGCGACCCCGAGGGTCCAACTCAAACCCAACAAAACCTATATCAAATAAGGAGCAACATGCTCACGTATTTTAGGATTCCTCCAAATCCTATGTACTATTCTATCTATAATCTGACTATCTATACCACTACTAGTTCTATATTTATCTTTGTTCTTATACACATTATCATTCCTATACAGTCAGTACATGTACACAGTTTCAGAAAAAAGTTGTTTTGAGGATAGTAGCGCGCCAGCCTTTACCTTTGAAAACAGGATCCAACCCATTTCTTGATCCCAGCCATGCGGACTATGTGAAATATGCAGCCACTTCAACACATTAGCCCAAATAGAATTCATAGTACTGCATTAAAAAAATAAATGTTGTAAGCTTTCTTTCTCTTGGCAGAATTCACAATTAACTTCACTAGTCATTCCAAATTAATTCAAGTGATCTTTAGTGGCCAATCTCTTGTTACAAGACATCCACAAGGTGAATAAAGCCCTTGGAGACGCATCATTGTCATATAGTAACTTTCTCCATGGAACTTTAGGAATTGCCTTAGTGATACTGTGATAAACTTTTTTGGCCTTGAAACTACCATTATCAACCAATTTCTGCCACTTATTCAACCCAGCAGCCTCGGGCCTTGTTTTCAAAATTTCTTTCTAAATCCAAGAACAAGACGTTTTGATGGGGACATTCATCACATGGTCATCTTTCACATAATATGTGTGAATCCAACGCACCCACAGACTATCAGCTTTTCTGCAAAGGTTCCAAAGCAATTCCATCAAACATACCTTATTCCAACGAGCCACATCCACCACATTCAAACCCCTATGACTTTTAGGCTCACAGATTTTGCTCCATGCAAATGAAGCTTTCATGGATAAAATGCCTTTAGTAACACCTTTAGGCATAGGAATACAATTCAACCAATAATTGATGGTACTAAAAATCACATTATTAATGAGTTGTACTCTTCCTGCATAGCTTAACAGATGAGCACCCCAATGTTTAATTCTAGCACCAATGCTCTTCACAGGGGCTAAACATTGACTTTTGGTGAGCTTTTTGCTGGACAAGGGGATTCCCAAGTTCCTGAAGGGAAGCACACAAGAGCAAAAACCAGTAATGTTAGCAATCTGCAGCATTGTATTTTGACCAACACCACCACAATAAATCTTACACTTATTAGGATTCACATATAAACCTGTAGCCTCAGAAAAGGAATTAAACCTCTCTGTTGTACCCCAAAATTTTCCCTTTCTATTCTCAATATATTTCTCATAAAAGATCTCAAATGTTTAAGAAGTTCCAAGAGTTTGATCAGACAAGTTCACCTCTTAAACACTGAGCCTCCAAATTAGGGTTTTTGTTTTCTCAAGGATAATTGGACTTTTGATACCTCAAATTACTTTCATGATTCATTATGGGTCTCCAAGATTGCTCATACCAAGTTTCAAGTCTTGCACTATAAATTTGCTCAGTCAATTGTTCAGATGATTGAAAATCAGCTATATTGGGTAAAAAGTCAATTATGGTCAATCTACAGTCAAACTTCATGATTTTTTGTCCCCATCAACATTTTGAAGTCATATTTATCAATTGATCAAGATTTGATCATAATTCCTCAATAAAAGTATTCAAATCATCAAAGGGCCAAAATTGTCAAAATTAGTGTTTTGATTGAGAATGACTGATCAGTGACTTTTGACCAAGTACATGATCTAATGTGTTGTACCCTAAAATTTTCCCTCCCATATTCTCCAAGATTTGTCAAGATCATGCTTCAAAATCTCCCCAAGGGTTGCACAGTTCAATGGCCTCCTAACAGTCAAAATTAGGGTTTTGGTTCTGACAAAGAAGTTGAGGTTTCCAAGGGTCCAAACAAGTCCCACATGCCTATAAACATTGTCAAGCATCCAGATGCAAGGTTTCAAGACTCACAGCACCAAGTTGCACTGTCAAAAACCCTAATTGCTCCATAGTCAACTGCAGGGGTAAAATGGTCATTTGACAGTCAAAAGTCAAAAAAATTGGTCAACATCTTATTTTGAAGCCACAAACATCATTTGATCAATTCTTGATCATGATTCTCAAGGCATGGCTCAAAAAGTCTCAAGGTGCAAAAGTTTCTATTTTTGGACAGTTGAAAAAGTCAACTGTAACTTGACCAGAGCATAACTTCCACATGGCTTATCAGGAAAATTCCATCCAAAGCTCATTTTGAAGAGAATGACATTTCCTACAACTCCTCTTCACACTTCAAGTCCAATAAATGCTCTCACAAAAAGTTATCAATTTCAACATTATAGGTCATTTTCAAAAGTCAACAAAAAGGGACTTTAAGTCAAAGACCATAACTTGAGATTGGTAAATCAAAATGACATGGGACCAAAGGCATTGGTTAGAGGACTTCAAGAACTTTCCAAAATGTCCAAGAACATGATCAAAGCTTAAAAATTGAGCAAGATATGCCTTGTGGAAGTTGGGAAATGTTTGGGAATTTTGAAAAGTCAACTTTGCTTCAAATGCCTCAAAATTGCTAATGGGCCTCAATTTCTTCCAAGAATCATCACCCAAAAGCTATGCACGACCCATTGACCCAAAGGGGAGTTATTTTCTTATTTTTAATTAATTAATTGAGTTTTTAATCCTATTAATTCATTTAATTAAAATTAAATTTAAGAAAAATACTAAAACATGTTTTTCCAAATCTTTTTGTGCAGCATATTCTCTCATTAAGGCCTAGGGATTTCGTGTACCACATCAAGAGGCAAGATCTTCCAAAATAGGCATGTTTTTCATGACAAAAAGATTGAAAAAGATGCTTGAAAAATCAAATATTGAAACATTGATTCAATGGATTTTGGGCTTTGTTTTCTAACCTAAATCATTCCTCATACATATACAAACAAACCCTAATGCTAAAGAAAAAAAAAAGCAAGCTGCGCTGAAACCTCAAGAACACTTTGCATTTTTTCACAAAAAAACCTTGAAACTGTTTTCATAGCCACTGCACGTTTCAAAGCCTGTACGCCCATTCCCACCATCCGCCGTGCTGCTCCACCATCCGCCGCGCTGCTCCACCAGCCGCCGTGCTGCTCCATCATTCTGTCTATACTCGCCCAATCCAAAACACACATTACTAGTCACCTAATGGAAGTAGATACATTGGAGATAATACCACACGATACCAACAATGGCAGCGGCGGCGGTATCACACCAAAGAAATCCACCCGCCTCGGCAAGAGAAAGGAGTACATATACGACGACACTAGCCAGCTCTCTGCGCGCAAAAAGAAGGAGATGAGAATCCGTTTATCATTAACGAAGCCTTCCTATGTTCTTAGACTCTGTCCAGAACCTTTCAGATCGGAACATCGTCGGAGATTGCAGTACCTGCTGCGTAGGCTCGTTAATCAACAGGATTGGGTTGGAGCTAGCGGTGTTATTAGTGTTTACATGAAAGGGACTCTTAAGGATACTTCTATCTTGACGAATCGTTTCAAGTTTTCGGCTTTACTAGAGCTTCTTAAGCATGTGGGAAACCATCCTATCAATTTAAGAAGGGTCGGGAATCTCTACGACATTTGGTCAAAGAAGATTGGATCATTGAAGATTAGATCAATGAAGACTTGGGCAGTACAGAGTAGACATGCAGTTCTTTTGGAGAACATCTTGTTCTATCTTATGCAAGGCGATGCTGAGAAGGCATATCAGCTTGTTGTATGCATTGACCAAGAGAAAGTAGATATTGATCCTGTTTCAAAGATAATATTGGGTTTGGCATTCTATGAGCGGTGGTATTCTTCTATTCCCGAAGAATTTCAGTGGAGAGATTTAGATCAAATTGACGGTAAAGAGAACTCACATACGGAGGGAACTTCATTCAGCAATGAAGTTAGACAGTCAAAGTGGCATAATACAGTTGAGTCGCACATGGCAGACTCCCAATATCAATGCTACTCAGATTCATCTGTCATGAATAATAAGCAAATGTCTAAGGATGTTGGCCTCAATAATGATATGATTGTTTCCGTGGATGTTAAAGCTAACCATAAAAGAGAATAACTGCGTCAAATCTTTCAGCCGCAAGATTTTTACTTGGCTTCTGATGAAAATCAAGTAACAGGAGATCCTTTTTCTAATAGGGAGGTCTTACACAATATATCTTGAGTGCTCTTGGGAGGCTTGATTTGTGGTTGCTGCCCTTGTGTTTTGAGAATGTTAATGGTTTGTTGGAATTCATGATCAACCACAAAAAGTCAAAAAAGGCCTGGATTGCAGTGGGCCTAATTGCTTCAAAAACCTCCCTTTGGGTTCAGACACCCCCATGGTTTGCATATTTTTATTTTTTATTTTAATTCTCCTTTTTATTTTAATTTCTCTTTTTGTTTTATTTAATTCACAAATTTAATTTTTCATAATACAAAACCAGAAAAAAATCATAAAACAAAAAATATGTTTTATTAATATTAATTTCTATTAATTTTGTAAATAAATTCCAATAATCAATTTAGTTTAATTTTAGGTTTAACTTTAATGTTTTCTTAAATAAACTAAAAAATATAAAAAAATAGGTTTTTTAGCATTTCTTATTCTTTTTCTCAATAATTAAATTTTTCTTATTATTATTAACTATTAATTTATTTTGTAAATAAACTTGTCATTAAATAATTAGGTTAAATTAGGTCAAACTTAAACATTTCTTAAATAATTAAAAACAATTTAGAGCTAGGGTTTTAGTTAATTTCTAATTTCAATTAATTCTCTTTATTTCCATAAAATACAAAAAAACATAAAAAATAATTTCCTTTCTTCGTTAAATAATTTAATTAATTTGTAATGTCAATTTAATTTCTTTGAAGGGTCCAACGCCCTCGCACCTTCGATTATAATTTCTTTTCGCGCATTTGCTTCTATTTTTTTCATTTTTAATTTATGTAATTGCCCCAAAGCTTTGTAATAGTAATTAGGACATTTACTTTCCTCACTTTTATTCTAATCGGGTCTTGGTTTAATTTGGTGATGTAGACCCGCGCCCTTGTAATAGCGTAGGACCTTTATTTTCCGCACTTTAAATTCCCGCACCCTTAACTGTTAATAATCACATGAAAGAATGTATGCCAAAAATAAAATCAAAGCGTAGATCACTCAATACATGACAAGACAAATATAACTGAAAATGACACACAAATCACACACCACTCCTAGGGTACGCCTCACTGTTGCCTTGCCCCTCGAAACGTGGTCGTCGAGTAGAGGATGTTTTAGTAAGTCCTCATGTCCATGAACATGGCATGGGGGTAGCTTCTAAGGTGTCTTCCTATTGCTCTGGTGATCACACCGTCCCTAAACTCGAATTGACCCGAACACCTCCAACGGTGGTGCTACCTACCTCTCAATGGTGGGATGGCACTACCTTAAGGACATTTACACAGACTAATTCCTTAGGGTAGGTAGATGACTCGTAAATACTTGCTCTAAATTCAAAAACAAATCAAAAACTTCTTTTCACACCGACACTTTGCAAAAAAGCTTTCAAAAACAACTTTTCAAACACTCTTGAGGACTGATACAAGAGTCGAACTGAAATTTTAAACGAAACTTTTTCAAACCCACTCACACTTTGAAAAGCAAACAAACATTTTGAAAACACAAACGAGCAAGTATCTAAGAGCCCATGGATAACCATGGATAGAAAGGGTGCTAACACCTTCCCTTTCTATAAATCTACCTCCCGAACCGAGAACTAATCTCAATAAGGAATTTTTCTGTGCTTTTGTCCTTTCCATGTTGGAGAAAATAAAAGACGGTGGCGACTCTTGCTTCCGTGACATTTCGCGAACCAGCGTTAAACAGTCAGTTCCAGATCCACCGATCACATAATGTTTTGAAGCATGATCTCAATGATTTAAACACTACATGTTGACCTTACTTCATGACTCAAATCATTTCTCAAGATAAATGGATTAATAGTTGAATTTTGGATCAACTGATGAAAAGTCAATTGATACACAAAAATCAAACTTTGACTTTTTGATCAACATTGAATTTCAAAGATCAAGATTCATCAAGATACTCAAAAATATCAAACTTGGTCAACAAGAATCAAGAAAGTCAATAAATCCCATAAAAGTCAAAGTTTTCAAGACTTAGAAAATTTCTAAGTGTTTTTAACCTTGATAATTTCATTACTTCATGACAATTATTTACCAAGATGCAGAATGATTCAAGGAAAAATTTCAACATGAAAGTTGTAGATCTTGATGAATACTAAAACTTTTTTTTAGAGGTTTGATGTCCAAAAAAATTCTTAAATTTGAAGCTATAAGCTCATAAAGTCATGACATTTTTCATAAAACACTTCGTGAAAATTTTAGCAAGTTAGGCAGATTTTTTGTCCTAACTTCTTGACCAATTTTCACCTAGTTCCAATTTGATTATGTCAAAGTGGTCCACATGAAGGCTGTAGACAATATTTCTAGCTTTCCAAAATGTCCAAGAACTTGAAGAGATCATGCTTGAGCTAGGAGAATCGAAGAGAAGAAGTTGGACATTCATTCTTGAATTACAAGGCATTTTCATGAAGAACACATAACCAAATCTCAAACTATGATGCATGATCTTGCTTTACAGGCCTCTTTACTTGAAAATCACTCTATAATTAATTGTTTACACAAATGATTGAGCCATTGTCCAAGAATTTGAGCCATTGTCCAAGTGGTTATTCCATTTAAGGAACAAAGTTTACACTTCCATTTTGGAAAAAGTTACTTTAATCACAATGTCAACTCTCCTTGAGCCCATATGTTGTTGCTTCTGACTCCAAAATATTTCAAATAAAGAAGCAACATATCTACAACATGTTAACCACCCTAGAAGCCCTTGTACTTCACATTGAAACCATGAATTTCAACTTTAATTCAAAAATAAGTTTCAATACCAAAACATGTGATCTTTTGTTTCTGATCCCTTCAAGCTTCCAAACCTCTTGTCTATAAATAGATAATTCATTTGCAACCTAAGACAGGAATGTACAAGCCTTGAAGCACCCTCAAACTTCCTGAAACTCGGAACTTGCACCAAAAGATCCATTGTTGCAATTTCTGGCCAAAAACTCTAAACACACAATCCACTTGTGCGTTTTCCCTCTAAATAATTCTCAAAGCTTCCTTACACCAGATATAACTCATCCCCATACATGTTTCACAACTCTAACATCATATTCCTCATCTTCCAAACTCAAGAACATAACTATGCATATTGACTTCTCCAGCACGATTCATCCAATTCCAGCATAAAGTAAGAGTTGCATTAGCTTTCTTGGAGTCCAGTGAATTTATTCAGATCATCACCACACCTCCAGAAGTACTCAAACTCCATACACGATTTCTAGTTTTGAGGTAAGTTTTCTCAACTTTGAACTCTCTCTACAATCATCATTAATGGTTACTTTGTGAATAAAAATATATACATCATAGCCCTGAAGCTAACCATGCCCTTAGATTTCATTTATGTTTCCTGAGTGATGCAAATTTTGAAGATGAACTTTCTGAAAAAATTAGATTTTTATATGGTACCAGTAAAATTCTCATTCATCTTTGATATATAGCTCATGAAATTTATATGGTTGAATTCGTATTAAAAAATGGAGAAAGTTTCATGTTCATACTTTTGCAAATGGTTGAGAAATGAGTGAGTTCAGAAATTCAAAAAATCTTGTTAGTGGAGGCTGGTGCGAGGTTAGGGATGAAGTCACATTTAGAAATGAGTTTGTAATATATTTAATAGTTGTTGTTCTATAAACAGATGAAATAACCATCCTAGTGGCAGAAGAAACGTGCGTAAGGCATTACCCCATAGGGATCTGGGTTCGAGCCCTAGTGGTACCCGTTTGCTTTTTTATATTTTCTCATTTCAGATCGCATGCTTACAAGCTACGTGCGTGTATCATATGCCCTCATCTCATCACCATTAGATCATTGTGAAGATAGATCCAACACATTCCAACGCCAACCTATGGTTCACTTCAAGAAGCCATACCTACTGGATCAAACAAGGCGCTGGGCCTCCCAAAACCTAGGCCTTTTTTCTGTTTTTATTTTTACTTTGCCTAACCCCATTTTCTACTAAAGACAGCGCAGGCCCAATGATTTTTTTTATTATTTTGTTTTCTAATTTCAAACAAAAAACAAGTTTAGGCCATTTTGTTAACTTTTTACCTGCCTTTTTACTTTTTTAACACTCAGCCCAATATGTTTTATTTTTCTTTATATTTTCTTTATTTTTATTTATTTATTTATTTATATTTAACCAAAAAATACCAAAAATATATTTTCTTAAATAATTAAATTTTATTATTTTTCTTTTACAAATTAACACTAATATTCAAATTATTTTCTAAACAAAATTACTTTAGACTTAGGTTTATTTTCTTCCTAATTTTAATTAACTTAGATTTTAGGTTTTGTAAAATGATTAATTGACTTTTCTTGTAATTAATTTTAATTGGCTTAATTAGGTTAATTACTGTGATCGGTGGATCTGGAACTGACTGTTTAACGCTGGTTCGCGAAATGTCGCGGAAGCAAGAGTCGCCACCGTCTTTTATTTTCTCCAAATGGAAAGGACAAAAGCACAGAAAAATTCCTTATAGAGATTGCTCTCGGTTCGGGAGGTAGATTATAGAAAGGGAAGGTATTAGCACCCTTTCTATCCATGGTTATCCATGGGCTCTTAGATACTTGCTCATTTGTGTTTTCAAAATTGTTTGCTTTTCAATTGTGGGTTGTGATCGGTGGATCTGGAACTGACTGTTTAACGCTGGTTTCGCGAAATGTCGCGGAAGCAAGAGTCGCCACCGTCTTTTATTTTCTCCAAATGGAAAGGACAAAAGCACAGAAAAATTCCTTAAAGAGATTGCTCTCGGTTCGGGAGGTAGGTTATAGAAAGGGAAGGTGTTAGCACCCTTTCTATCCATGGTTATCCATGGGCTCTTAGATACTTGCTCAATGTGTTTTCAAAATTGGTTTGTTTGCTTTTCAATGTGGGTTTAAAAAAGTTTCTTT